GATTTTACTGACTTAAGTACTCTCAAATTTGAATTAATTATAGCCACGTGGACTTCGACCACACGTTTCCTTTCATTATTTTTTTTTATAGAATGTAGCAATTTATAAATAAAAAATTATAAATATTAATATTTGAATATCAAATTTATTAATTATTATCATTTAAAGATAATTGTATAAATTAATTTAAAAATATTCAATGGTTAATTGTACCCTAATCAATTGTTTTATTGTGAAATTAAAATATAAATCAATGTTACATTGTAACAATTTATTGCTTTTAATGAATTAATTAATTATCATATTTAATTTTATCATCAATTTATTTTTAAGCATATAAATTCATTATTAATTTTAATTTCATCATCATTATTATTTTTAATTTTATTAAAATCAAATTTCTCGTCCATCCAAATATATTTAAGTCTCAAAATTTGTCCTCCCACACCATTAGTTATTTTTTTAAAATACTACTCATAATCAAATATTATATTCATATAATTAATTATTAAATTATCAATAAATAAATTTTAATTTAAACAATTAAATCCATGCAATAAAACAAACAAAAAATTCAAAATTTTAAAACATTTTCTTTTATGCTAAACTGCCACTTCATTTGCTATTTATTAAGCTTTCTTAAAACCCAGCCCTTAAAAAAGGAAATTCACATGATCACTGACAACTACACCTCCTTTGTCACGTGCTCCATGGAACCACTCACCCTTTTAAAAATTTAATTACATAATAATTTTAACTTTAATAACTAAAAAAAAAAGTTAATTAAGAGAACTTTTTTTTTTCATCTCTAGCATAATAATAAAATAAGTATTGGGGAAATGTTAAATATAAAAAGAAAAAACAAAAGAGAAAGTAAAATACTAATTGGAGAACAAACCTTATCCATTTTACCAATGGGTATTTAACCATAACATAGGGATTAGCGTGCACTGAGTGGGGCCCATCTGACTCGGTCTGTACTCTTTGTTTGTAAAAATTTAATGCCACGAATAACTTTGGGAGGGCATAAAATAGTGGGTGAGTTATGGGTGTAAAATTTACTGTTTCCATTGGTTAGGTTTTGGGAATTTATTAAGATTATAATTTGAAGAAAAAATAACTTCATTTAATACATTAAAAATTGATTAAATATAATGAACAAATTTCACAAGATTCTAAGATAATTTTCCTTTTTCTTAATTATATTTATAATTTTAGAGTAAATTTATCATTATATTTTAAAATTTCAAGTAATTAAATAATTTTAGTAACAAATTATTTTAGAAGTTATTTTGCAGTTAAAATAATAATTTTAAAAATGATGTGACATAAAAAAACCCTTGAAGCTAAAATGCACAATTTTTTCGTTTTATTTATTTTCTTATTTAATCATTACATTTTTTCCTAATATATTGTCACATAATTTTAAATTTTATTTTTATTTTAATTTTTCTTTTATCATAATATTTTTATTAAATACAATATTATACCATACTTTTTCAATTAATCTTGAATTTTTTTTCTTCTCATGTCATTTTCAAAATTCTTTTAATTAAAAATAATTTCTAACAAAATAATTTACATTATATTTTTCAAATATTACATCTTGACTAAATTTGTTTCAAAATTATAAAAATAATGATAAATTTGTTCTAAAATTATAAATATAATAATAACAATATACCAATTAAAAAATTAATTATAAATCTACACTATTTACATAAATAGAATGATAAATTTATATTTTATCCATGTAAAAATTTTACGAAATTTACAAAGGTGAAAATAATAATAAAAAATACCACTAATAATGGTTGCAATTTGTTTGTTAGGGCAAATGGGAAATGAGCTAAAATGTAAAAACGTAACCATGTGGATGAGATCATGACCGTTAACTTTGATTAAGTTGAGCTGTAACCATCGTGCTTAAACGTGGGAAAAGGAATAAACTAAATGATATTGATTGGCCAATAGGGGATTAGAAAAGTACAATCAATTATGCTGAAAACAAGTGTTTTATCAGAACAAAGGCCGGAAAATAAAATAAATAGGCGGAAGTGGCACAGTTTCCAAGAGCAAAAATTATTAAGGGCAGAGGAATCCGGCTGTAAATTTGGACACTAATGGGAGCAATCACAGCGACAATACCTGCAAAAGATTGATTCTTTAGCCATTTATGGGGTTGAATTTAGTTAACCACTTTTTTTTTTAATTTTTTAATCTACTCTTAATTTCGATTATTATTTATTTAATTCACATGTTTAATTTTTTCAAATTCCTAAGCTTCAAAAGTCTAACTAGCATACATACTATCTAAATTATTATCTAATTGCTTAATAATATCTTCATTAATTTTTTATTAATTAAATGGCAATAACAACTATGTCCTACTAGTTAGTTTTCAAATTTTTACATGTTAAATGGTTAAGTTATTTAGTTATGTATACTAAAATTTAATATTTGATTCAATAATAAATATGTCTTTTTTTATTAAAAAAATTTTCAAAATCTTTTCTCTCTTAAAATTAAAAAAAAACAAGAATAATAACTTATTAATAATAAGTATATAATTAGGGTTTGAATGTGGATGCTTGTTAAATACCTGTTAAAGTTATTTAAATATATATTTTTAATACTTTTGAATTAATGTATTTTTCTAAAAAAAATTCGAGAAGATTAGGTTATTAAATTGATGAGATTTTCCTAAATAATGCTTAACGAACATTATTTAAGATTATTATAAAAAGTAATATTTTTATCTATTGCATTAGAAATCATAATTAAAGATATTTGTTATTGCATGTAATACAAGATTATTACTATAAATGAAATATTACTAACTAACCATAAAGTGTCTTACTATAAATAATAATATTTTTTTATAAAGTGCTCATAGTAAATTTCTTTTATAACTGTTGTCAACAGATAACACATACCAATTAAAATTTCCTATAAAAAATTTTTTCTTAAATAAAATTTCATATTTGGATAAATACATTTTTTCCCTTTGTCAATAATTAGTAATTATGAGGGGTAGTTTTTAAGTGGGGAAGGGAATTGAAGCACCCATTAAGGAAGGTAGCTTGAATTGTGAAAGGGGGGTAACAGTTGTATGTGGCCTAGCTGTTGCCCTTTTAAGTGACAGCTGCCACAATTATGCTTAGCTACACACCTTAAAACTTTGTTGCTTTGACTCTTTTGCATCACATTATCAATTAATGTGATAATTTTCTAAATATTTTTCTTGAAAATCACAATGGGGTGCATTTTTTTTTCATTTTCTTGGAAAACTATATGAAATAGAAATCTATGTATTAAAAAAAAAAACTAAAAGATTCACATTTTATAAATTTTCATCTTGAATATTTTCTAATTGTACAAGTTTGAGCTTTTCTTATTTATTTATTTTAAGATAGTTCTAATGGAATTGATTATTGTGGTTTTGTTCTAAGCTTTTTCATCAAAATTGAGAATAAACTTTGCAAACCTTTTATTTTTCTTTATGTTTTGTAAATATCCAATGCCATTTTTCTGGATATGGTTGTTATAAAACCAAGTAATTAACTATTCAATAGTCTTCAATAAACCATTATGTTACAATTTGTTGGCTTATAAATGGATTTAAAGTTGTTTTAAGTTGCAAGGTACTTAATTTTAGATTAAAGGATTAGAAAAATTTCAAAATTATAATTAAAAAATTATTAAAGTTTTAATTTTTTATGACAATAAATCAATCCCTCCAATATCTATTTACATCAAATTATGTTTTTAGTTGGATAAAAAAATTAATCAATTAAAATATTAATTGATTGTAATTAAAAAAAATGAAAATAATTATTAAATTATAATTTAAGAACATTTTTACCCTTTAGCCTTAAACTTACTAAATCATGTTGGCAAAAAAAAAAAAAATCATTTGAAGAAATCTTATTTATCTCCTTCAAGTTTTAACACTAATTTTCTTTAGCCTTACACAAGCGAAACAAGTGGACTTTGGAAGGTATATATGTACACTTTCAGCATGTTAAGTTAAATAAGCTTTTCCCCCATTGTTTTGATTATGTAATTTTTACAAATAAGTTTTAATTTTGCATCATCATAACTTTCCTAATACATTCTCACATTCAAAGCAAATGAATGCGATTAAGAACTCAAAATTTAATTTATTTAATTCATATAATATTTTTAAAATATAAATTAATAAATTTAATATTTATAAATTTAATAATTATAAATTTTTACCTTAAAATTACCATTTTTTAAATTAAAAATTAATGTTTCTACTTTTATGTTAAATGAACAAGCTTAAAAAGACTAAAATTGAAATCTAAAAAAAAGTACTACTAATATCTACCTACTAAGTTTTGAAATTATTTTGGGAAAAAAAAAATCTTTAATTGCCTAGGTTAGAAGTTAGCACCAATCACTTTTAGGTCTAAAAATTACCAAATTATTCAATTTGTTTACCTTTGTTTAAAGCAATGCTACCTTTACTTTATAAGACCAAAGCTTACCATTTGCCAACTCATAACTTCACCAAACCATAACAAAAACCAAACCAGGAAACCCAAAAACCAAAAAAAAAAAAAGTTTGTAAAACCCCCAAAAAAAGTAAAAACCAAAAGTACTCTGTAGTTGTAAGTAAACGTAAACTATTTTACTTTCCAAAAACAGAAAAAACAACTATATTCTAATTTAATTAATTTTAAGTAAAAAAATTCCCTTTAAAGAACTTCCAAGTCACTTCTCATTATTATTAAATTAATTAATTCGCTGATTGTTGCATGTACAAAGATGCTCCAATTTCCTAATATTTGCAATTTTAACCTTCCCTTCACTCCTCAAAACCCACCCTTTCTCTTCACTCTCACTCACACGCCAAACTTTTCTCTCTCTTAAGTCTGTTTAAATTTTTTCTCATTTTCTCTCTCTCTCTCTCTAGAAACCAGAAATTTTCACTATAACTATACGTTGTAGGAAGTTGTACATTGTAAGGCTTAATGGAGGCGGGGGACTTCTACGTCGGAGGATATTACGGTGGTGCAGCAGGCGGTGATTTCTCGCAGGAGAAGAGGATGTCCGTGGAGCAAAAGCTCGCGGAGAATTTCACTGTGGATGACCTCCTTGACTTCTCCAATGAAGACGCTATTATCAGCGATGGCTTCGTCGACAACGTCAACGGCAATTCTAACGATTCCTCCACCGTCACCTGCAATTCCTCCGTTTCTGGAGGCGATAACCACTTCTCTTCAACCAATATGCCTCATCCCTCTCAGTTCTCCGGCGAACTCTGCGTTCCGGTAATTAACCAAAAAGTTATCGTGTTAGTTTTTCCTTTTTCTGCAACGTGAAATTAACTACCTAATTATTTTAAATATTTATCATTTTTTAAGTAAAACTGTAAAAATGGATAAATTCTCCTTTCTTCTAAACCAATTGAATAATTATTAAATTAAAATTCCTATTTTTTTTCTAAATTTATAGTAATTAAAATGTGGAAGAAAAATAAATTTGTTTTCCTGGTTTGCAGTATGATGACTTGGCGGAGCTTGAATGGCTCTCAAATTTCGTTGAAGACTCGTTCTCAACATACCAGAATTTACAAAGCAACCTCCAGATTTTCGCCACGTCAAAATCACCCATACCCGAATCCTCCTCTTCTTCGACCCGGAGCCCTAGCAACCCAATTTTCCAACACGACACTCCACTCCCGGGGAAGGCCCGCTCCAAACGTTCACGGGCCGCCCCGTGCGATTGGTCCACCCGAGTCCTGCACCTCACACCGCAATCCACGGGCCAAAAGAAAAGGGAGAACCCGAACGCCAATTCGGAGGCTCCAGGCAGGAAATGTTTACATTGTGCGGCGGAGAAGACTCCGCAATGGAGGACCGGTCCGGTGGGTCCGAAAACGCTTTGTAATGCGTGTGGGGTGAGGTACAAGTCGGGTCGGTTGGTACCCGAATACCGACCCGCTGCGAGTCCGACATTTGTGTCGACGAAACATTCGAATTCGCATAGGAAAGTTTTGGAACTTAGGAGGCAAAAGGATTTGCAAAGAGCACAGCATCAACAGTTTCTTAGTCAAACTTCGATTTTCGGCATATCCAACGGTGCTGGTACTGATGATTTCTTAATCCATCATCATGGTGCTCCCGATTTTAGGCACATGCTTTAGTTAGAATCTCAAAAAACAAAGAGGACAACAAAGAATTGTAGCCCCTTTCCTAAATCTTGGACTTAAAAAAAACTGAATTTTGTAGTTCATTATGAACCCCACAAAAAAAAAAAAAAAGAGGGGGAGTGAAGTTCTAATCGATTTTTGCACAATTAGCATATTTTAGAATTAATTTTTATTTTCATAAATGCTCCTGCTAGATATTTTTAAAACTCTTTTCTTATTATTATATGAAGAAAAGGAAACAAAAATGTTGTTGAGTTGGATGCTTAGACGAGGAATAATATATGAAGTAAATGGGTGCTAACACTTTTCGTGTAGCCAATGGGTCAGAGAAAGGATACTGTGTCCATACCTAAAATGCATTTGCACATGAGAGGGAAATGGCTGGCTAATCTCAGTTTCATTTACCCAAAATTTTTTTTTCCTTCAACCATTTCCATTTTTATTTTTAGCTTTTAAATTTAAATTCGTTTGGCTGCTTAATAATTTAACAAAGAGATAGTCAACAATCATGTAATTTGTATAATCTATTAGTAGAATATTGGATTTTTAATTCTAATAATCAAGATTTAAATTCTAACAATTCTAAATATTAAAAAAAAATTCAACAAAGAGATAGAAAGGAAAGCTTTGCAATAAACATAACCATACAAATTCCTTTTCATGGTTTTACTTATAATGGTTTGAATTAGATCCTTTTTCATGTTAAAAATGCATTTTTAAAATTTTTTTAATTAAGATTGTCAATTAATATTAATTATTGATTTTAAGAGATTAATATTTTATTAATAGATTAATATTGACGTTGAAAAAAAAAGAAAGTAATTTTAGGTTTGTATAGTTCAAAGTAAAGTGAGATTTCAATAGAAATCTAAAATGTTTACTTAATTAGAGACATGTACATGCATTGTGCATCAATAAAAATCAAATTAAGAATAAAAAATTCCTACTATGTCCATATGTAATGAGGAATGAGGCTGCTTTCTAAATTATTTAAATAATTTTTTATGGAATACTCCAAGGACCCAAATTACAGGGCATGGATTTCAGTGAAATACATATAATAAAATGAAATAAAATCAATTTAGACATCGTCTTTGGCACGTACCATTTTTGTAGGGGTATAAAAAAAATTTACAAAATCACTTGAGCGAAGAGATCAAGATACATTGAGAGAAAAATACAAGGTTTATTTTTAATTATTTTATACAATTATTTTTATAAAATATTACTCAATAAATTAAAAATTAAAAATTTATTACTTATAATATTTTTTTTATCTTCAAATTATAACTTATAAAATTCAGATTAAAAAAAAATTGTAAAAAAAAAATTTTTGAAAACAGATTTTGGCTCCATACATAGCTTAAATGGTGCAACAACTGCAAAAGTGATATGTAAAAGTAAGAAATAAGAAAAAGAGGGAGAAAAATTAAAATCAGAATCAGGCGTTTCATTGGGGTTGATGTGTAACTGTCCACCCGATCTTAGACATTTGCTCTTCCACTGGGTCCACTCTAAATTTGATGAATATTATTATTATATAAGTCAAATCCCTAATATTCTTGTTCCTGGATTGTGATTAATTACTAAAGATTTAAAGCAGTGGGTCTATGATCAAATTTTAGATTAAAAATTTAACAGTAAACTCTTGCTTGTTACTTTGTTAGACTACAGGGATACCAATCCTCAATTTCAGTGTCAAATGTATGTTATGGTACAAAACTTTTGAATAGATCAGTAAGGCAAATGCATGGTTAATTTCATTTTTATTCCATCTTTAACTAGTTAGTTTAGTCAAAATTAATAAATATTAATATTTATTATTAATGGCACCAAATAATAAATCAAATTGGGAAGGTGATCGAGTATTGTGCTATAAGGATATTAATAATTTTTGTTGGGGCATGATGTGTGCATACTTTTTGAATTACAGAATATTAAAAATTAAATTTTAAATATATTATATATCATTTTATGAAAATTATTGTACGAATCAATTTGGATAAATATAAGATTTTTGTACTTTTAAATTTGTTTCGATAATAAGTGTGACTTATAGTGCATTTTTTTTTAAAAAAATTGAATTCGAAATCCTTATTTTCCAATAAATATTGATTTTTTGGTTATTTTTTTCACAAACAAAATCAATTATATAGGTAAGTAATTTTTAATATTGGATTCATTCTTAATCAAAAGTCTTAAATAATTAGTTCTGATAAAAAAAATGTCTTAGCATCATCATGTTAAAAACCCAAAAAAGAAGGAAAAAGAAAAGAGATATGCTTTGATGTCAACTTGACCAATCTCATGGGCAAATTGCTAGCTGGCTAGAACAAAATATGAGGTCAATGCGCTTGGTTGTCTTTTTTTGAGTTTATGCTTTAGCATTTTGGTAGTGCCCAAAGGGAGAAAGGAAACTTAAAATAATGTATGCTAGTGTAGCATTGTGATATGATAGGGTGGAATTTTCCCTTTGTTGGTTCAATTTCCATTTTCCCATACATTTAAAATCAAAGACAAAAACCAAAATTATTATTATTATTATTATCTTATTATTATAGTTTAACTATTGTTTCCTAAATGCCTCAAATCATCTTCAACTCATAAATAAAATCATTGAAATCAAACAATATATACGATAAGTAATTTTGATCAAGATTGATATTATATTTGGAATATCAATACACAAATGGTTAAAGTTTCAAAGCGAGAATATACAATGGAGCAAAGCACCAAACACATGCATGTGATTATTAGAGAAGAGCACATGCGGTACGTGACGTGCATGACTGCTTCTGCTGCTGTTTTAAGGTAATAATATATATATATAAAAAAAAATTTCAGAATGGCTTTGTTGCCCTTTGTCTAGGGATCTTTCCATATTATTTCGATACCATATGATATGGTTTTTGTCTCCCCCCCCCCCCCCCTTTTTTTTTCTAATCAATTGCCTTTTCTGTTGTCCATCAATTGCACATTTGAGGAAAGAAATAATGAGTTTTTTTTTTTTTTCTTTTGGGGGGTTTTTGAGTAAGGACTAAGGAGATATTTTGGTATAATTTCACATGATTTAGGATTATTGGCATGGGTGAGAACTGGTAGGTAATGACAGATGATAGTTTAAAGATTGCTTGACTCGATGGAAAATTATTGTTGGGTGATAGTCTTCTTTCATTTTTAGTGATTTTGCTCCAAACCCCATAAGAAGAGATATGAATGTGACTGCAACGAAAAATCAATGATTCAAATTTCAAGTGCTAATTTTTTATTTTTTTTTATCAAATACAAGTTTCCCACTATATAGCTATATATATTTTAATAAATGAGGTTATAGATTGAGGATAGGAAAATTAATTACAAATGTTAAAATTTAAATTTCGAATATAATCAAACTTTTTAAAAATAATTATATAAACTGATTGAACTTCAGCTATACGTTTATCTGAGCATGTGTATAAAAACTAATACTTTTTGTAAATGATAAAGGATAAGTATATTTCTTAATTTGGGTGTAAATTTTTAGAGGAAAAAAGAGACAAGATATGGAAAACCAAAGCAAGAAATGTCACATGCATAAAAAAATGAGGTGCATTTTTCTTTCTCTTTATTCTTTTGTTAAAATTTTATTTCCCTTTATGAACTAAAGCAAAAGCACCCAAATATAGTACGATCCCTCATGTTCATATAGTCATGGTCAAGATGAAAAAGCTAGTTAGTCAAGAAATTACAAGTAACCCATCTCCTATATATATTTTCTTAATCTTGAAAAAAGGGAAAAAAAATAAAATGCCAATAGTATATATCTTAACATAAATGCCAATCTGGGTACATAACAAAAATTACCTTAGCCAATAATATCACTCATTTCCATGGGCTCATTGCTTTCTTTTGTTGGCCTTCACTTCAAGTAGACAAAAAAAGAATTAATCCCAACAATATTAGCTTTTTTCTAAAGAAATTTTTATTTATAATTTTATATAACTAAAAATTTAAAAGGAATTCTTGTACAAGTTGAAATCAAACACTTGCATTTTATTTGTACAGTAAAACCACTTATAAATTGAGCTAAACTTTAGGGGTGTAACAAATAGAGTTTTTGATGAATTGTCCGTGAACATGTTTAATTTTTATTCGTTTATTAAGTTTAACAAATGATCTTAAATAATATTTTAATATTTATTTAATAAATGAATAAAATATGAACAAAAGTATATTTCATTCATTTATATTTACGAATAAACTCGTTTAATGTTCGTGAACAAATTTAATAAATATTTGTTTATATATTTTTTAACCATTCTAAAATGATTATTTTATAATTAAATATCTTTTAATAAGATTTAAAACTTAATTTAATATTAATATATTGAAAATTACAATTAACATATATTAAAAATATTTCCTAATGTTTTAAATATTACTGTCATAATGTCTAGATCTGAGAATCTATTGCTTGACATTGACTTAAGGAGTCGTCACCAATATTTTATATTTAAGTACGATTGGTCACTTAAAGAATCTATCCTTCCAAGGAACACCTAAGCTTGATTAAAGGTCTCTAAAAGAATAAGTTCGGGTCTATTAACCAGAACAGGATTCGAGAGTTCGATTACGAGTGAAGAAGATTATAGCACCCTCATAACGCCCATCAAAAGATGGTACCAACTTAATTTCGTGTTATCAAATAAGCCTTAAAAATTTTACTAAGTAATTAATTATTAAAAATTATTCTTAATTAACTCTAATACTTTTGACAAAAAATTAAGAAAAATTCTCTCACCTTAAGAGTATCCAAAAAAACTATTGTTTCACTTACAGAAACTCCATCGTCAGATGATTTAACATTAAAATTCTTCTAAGAAAAGAAAAGGATCAAAGGAAAAAGGAATGATAATTCGACTTCTGATATAAATATCTTTTTTATTTTATAAAAAAAACTCATGTTTTTATAGAAGAAAAATTGATACTTTTAACTTTTTCTCAAAAATATTTTT